TTGATCCATTTTACAATCTGATTAGGTGTAAGCTTCTTAAACTTATCACATGGGTTTAGGTAGTGATCATTCTCATCACAGTGTGGGCAATAGGGCTGTGGTTTTGGAGCCAAATTGCTATGAGTTGGCTTGGAGGGAGTTGTATCATTGTTTACTGTGAGAAGCACAGGAGTGGATCGTTCCCAATATGCGTTGGGGTTCTTTGCACTCTTATTTAGCCTGTGAGGCTCGGGTTGATATAAAGCTGCAGCCCGGCTTGAGATGCGTTTGGCATGGGACTTGACCTGGAGCCAGGCAGCGAGATCTGGTAGTGTGTACGTTCTGTCTGAACCAGACTGCAGGATACTCCGGTTGAGGCAATACTCCACAAAACTGTCACGGTAAAAGGAGGGCATTTGACCTAGTAACCGGTACACATGCGATCCACACTGGAGCTCAATCCCATTTGGGCCTTCTAGAGTCTGTAACATCCCCACAACAGATTGTATAGACAGAGCAAAGGTATCAAAACTGTTAATGTCGCTCATCTTGAGTGTAGTGGAGCTTAGGAGGATACCAAGCTCTGATTGTATGAGCTGCCTTGGTTGGCCATATTTGTCCTGCAGTGCATCAAGTGCAGCAGTGTATGGATTTGGAATATGCATATAGGCCTTTGCAAGTTGTAATGCGCTGGGTAATTGTATGTGACTTAGCACTTGGTATTTATACTGCTCACTAAGATGGCTGTGATTGTCTAATAAGCTGTCCAGTGCCATCTTAAGGAGGGCAAAGTCACTCTCTCGCCCACTCTCAAATACTGGTAGTGTTGGCTTAGGTATGCCAAAGGCAGTAGCAATAAACATGTCCACTCCGAGTTGTGGCTGTGGACCAGAATAGGTGGTGGGCTTTGGTGGAGGGACTGGGTATGGTGCAGGAGTGGCTGGAGGTTTCATCTCTCGAGACATCGGGGCCAGGGCCGGTAGAGTATGTCCTGGATTGGTACCTGTACATGGAGGGTACAACACTGCAGAAGATGGGCTGTTGTGGGATTCCCTCTGGTGCTGCATCATGGGAGGAATGTCAGATGAGAAGGTAGATTGGGCTGTGCTTGGCTGTGGCCAGGGGACTGCAGCAGCTTACATTGTCCCTCGACCTTGAGTGGGCTGTTGTTGAGATGTAATGGGCGAGAGTACGTTGGCTGCTGGAGCAGGTGTACTTACTGATGGAGATGCTGGTGGGGCCTGCACTATGTCTGTGCACTGGGCAGGATTCTGCGCATCCCTGGATGGAGCATTATGAGAGTGTGCTTCAGGCTGAGGGACTGCGGCTGAGATCAGGTGTCCAACTGATGCTACTGGACCTGTAAGTATTGAGACCTGGTCGTCTTTGCTAGTGGTGATGTTAGTGGAGAGCATGGAGGTAACTGGTTTGGCTAGTTCTACATCCGCTTCTAGCTTTTTGAGACGACGACTCTGTTCTAGGCGCTTGCTCATAGCTTCTCTAGCCTGTAGGGCTTCCTCTTGAGCTAGTTGAGCTGCCCTGGCTTGTGCCCGTATCTGCTGGAGCTCACGCTCGGCTAGAGTGTCTTCCTCCAGCTGCTGTTGTAGATCATTTAGTTCGTGTTTCTTGACACTTTCTTCTAGTAAAGCTGCTTGCAGCGGTGAGAGGCTGTGCAGGGGATAGCGGCAAGTGGAGTAGGTGGTTCGCCGCCCAGAATGTGAACTGGAGCTGGTTACAGTGCTTGTATCTCTCCTTGTATGGCTTCGGTATTTGCTATTAGAGTGGAATGAAGCAAGTGGAGGCTGTGAGCTGTGCACGGAATAATCTACTTCATAGTCCATTAGGTGCTGGGGTAGACGAGTCACTCTCTGCGGTCTGCTTTGTTCCTCTTCCGTGGGTGCAGGATCATCCATTTTGTGTTGGTTTAGCCTCAATCCGGGCTCAAAGGACAAGAATGTAATGCAGTAGCACTATACTAGTAAAGGGATACAGATTGGTTGAGGCCGTCAATATGGACAGGAGGTTCCGGTCTAGGTGAACGAGAAGTATTCTCAGTGAATTTATTGGCATTGACATTAAACAGCAGACTCTTTTAACTGGGGTAGGATACATGTATGTGTACGTGTGGTTTCTAGGAAGAAACAAAGTCACTTCCGTAAGTTAAATAGTCCAACAAAGACATATCCAACACCCATTGCTAACTAAACAAATTATAAACCGATACTCGTGTAGCTGAAGGTACGTTACCAACTTAGCATGGAACTCGTAGGGCTAGCTTTAGCATTAGCAACTAACGGCAGTCATTTAAATACTATAACAACTGTGACTGATGTGGTACCAAACATGAAACAACATAGCGAACATAAATGTAACATAAATATTCACCTTTAGTACTCACTTTTATATCCGTCACGCACAACATATACAACGTTAAACCGGAAGTATGTCCGTCATAAATTAAAGGCACGGTCTGGAAGCACGGAACAAACATTAGTTCCGCTCGGCGGAATATTAGTTCCGCTTCGGTCTTTTGGACAACATTGCTGCTTGCAGTATGCACAAGCTAATATGCTCATTCGGAAATTTTCTAGGTGTCCCATTTCTGTCAAGCTGACATTTTTCAAAGCATTTTGTACGCCACTTGTAATGCTACCCTTCACAATCTAATGTACAGATGTATGTGTAGGCTGATGGTCTCTGGAAATGGAATTATCTCTATCTTGTCCACAACGACACAAAGCATGACTCGATTCTATTCTAACTTTTGGAATGACTGGCGTTGTTGCCTGTATATTTGACAGATCTTGTCAGTTTGTATTGCTTTTGGTTGTAATTTTATTGTTATTAACTTGCTTTATTGTTCTTAATGTTTTTTATTTTCTTGCTTTTTTTTAACTGTTTTTAGTCCTCTAATCTTTATTCTTTATGAATTTAACTATTTTTACTGTTCACTGTGTTATCCTTCCCATTATGGACCTTAAAGGCCCGGAATAAAGTTTGATGATGATATATGGTTGGATTATTTTAAATATATTTTATTGCCTTGCTTAATGATGGCTTTTTAGCTTGATGCCTGCAATGTATTAATCTCTTCCTTTGGTTCATGATTTAGAAGCATTTTTATAAGATTCTGTAAGCTTCTTGTGTCAGTGCACTATGTTTTGTGAATGGGACTCCATTCCCCATAATGCTTTGTTGTGTGGAATTTGTTTTACATCAGCTGTTCTCCTTAACTAGGAACTATCTGCATGAACATGCACAATTCCTGATGAAGGTCTTTTGACAGAAGGCTTGAGAAGAATGAATACTATATTATCATAGATTGAAGTGTGCAGATGATGTTCCTCTTCAGGGAATCTTCAGGAAAAAGGAAAAGCACATCACACCTGTGGTGTCTGGATTCCTGTCAAAGTCAAAGTTGTTCATTTGTCTCCGCTGGGAGATACTTGCGCATTTAGCCAGAGGGGGTTACACTGCACCACTATACTTCACTCATCCAGACCACTACTAAAAAAATAGTACATGCACAGATTAGTAATAAAAATATTTAGACAGTTAAGCATATTTAAAAAACTAATAAAAACCTAAAATCAAATTATTCTAAAACAAGAAATAAACAAGTGCAATTTGATCCGCGTAGAGCCACCCACAATCAACCCCTAACCCCAGAATTTACCCGTCTAGGCAACAGCGCGTCTACCAGACATGCTCATCTCACGCTTTTTGTGCACATGTGCACTGTCTAGTTTGGGATTCTGTTTAAACTCCTTGTGTTTAAAACCCTTGATGGCCTAATCCAGGGGTGCTCAATCCTGGAGGGCCAGCATCCAGCTAGTTGTTTCTCTGCTCAAACACACTTGATTCAGTGGTTGAACCACCAGTTCAGAAGCCCGTGAAGCTCTACAGAAGCCGTAAATTACCTGCTCAATGAAATCAGGTGTGATGAAGCAGGGAAAGATCTAAAACGAGGTTTCTCAACCCTGGTCCTCAGACTTTTGGTAAACAGCATTTGTTACATGATGCTGTAATATTTTCACCCTGGCTACATAAGTTACTATTATTACAGATAACACATGGTGGCAAGACGACTGGTGGTGCAGATCGGAAGTCTCATTGATCAGTTACTATTTTTCTATCTCACTTACTTCTCATGGTTCCATATGGTTGCCCTTCATTAATGTAGTTAGGACCTTGTGTGTGTGTGTGTGTGCGTGTGCGTGCGTGTGTGCGTGCGTGCGTGCATGTGTGTGTGTGTGTGTGTGTGTGTGTGTGTGTGTGTGTGTGTGTGTGAGGCCTATGTTGTGAACATCTTGCAACACGAGTACATCTATATCTGCCCAGGAAGTGTGTGTTTACATCGTTAAAGCCGTGGCTCTTTGGGGCCATCTGGGAAGCTGGTTGGTGTAATTAAATTGGATCTGGGGGGGGGCTATACAGAGGAAGAGGGGAAAATGAGACCAGAAGATAAAAAAAATCAAGAGAGACCTAAGAGTCTGGGCAAGAGGAGGTGTGGAGCTGAATCAGTTTAGCTACACAAAGCTACACATTTTCAGGTTCCTGTTCTTTTTTTTCTTTCCAACACATGTTGAAGAATTGTTGTCACGTTTTGCAGAAGTGGTGCATTGTTCCTTTAGTGCTGCTTGCAGTGTCATTAGTGTGAGTCCTGCAGCGAGACAGATAAATATTTACTGAAAGCCATGCTGTGTTAAGAAATAAAACACTTGATAAATTAGGTGTCATTTTATCATCTTTTGCTTTTGGCAACTCATCAGCCTCTGATCGAATATAGGGGAGTCTTGGAGCAGTAACAGAAATGCTGGCAGATTGGTTCACCTGCCCGTTGAAATGATTATAGATTTGTTAGTTAGGGCTCTTAGCGCTCTAATGAACAATGCTCTTGAGAAAATCTGATTCTATGAAGTAAAGCCTTGGGGAACCTTCATGGCTCGGATTTTAATTCCAGTTCGCTGACAATTCTTAAATCTGATGTACATTTTGTTTTTGTTTTTATCTTGGTTCAGGTTGCCTCCCTGGGTGTGACAACCTTCACCTTGTGTGCTCTGTGCATCGATCGCTTCCGTGCTGCCACTAATGTCCAGATGTACTACGAGATGATAGAGAACTGCACATCTACAACTGCAAAGCTGGCAGTCATCTGGATCGGTGCCCTCCTCTTGGCCCTCCCAGAGCTCCTCATCCGACAGCTGGTGACCGAGGACACGGGACTCCCGGACGAGCCTCCGGTCGAGCGGTGTATCATCAGGATATCCACCTCTCTACCTGACATACTCTATGTGCTGGGCCTGACCTACGAGGGTGCTCGGCTGTGGTGGTGCTTTGGCTGCTACTTCTGCCTCCCGACCCTCTTCACCATCGGATGCTCGCTAGTAACTGCGCGCAAGATCCGGCGTGCGGAGCAGGCCAGCGTGCGCAGCAACAAGAAGCAGATTAGGCTGGAGAGCCAGATGAACTGTACCGTCGTGGCGCTGGCGATCGTCTACGGCGCATGTGTGGTGCCGGAGAACATCTGCAACATCGTCTCAGCGTACATGGCAGCTGGTGTTCCGGAGCAGACCATGTCGATCCTGCACCTCCTCTCCCAGCTACTGCTGTTCTGCCGGGCCGCTGTGACGCCAGCACTGCTGCTTCTGCTGTGTCGCCCACTGGGCAGGGCCTTCCTGGACTGCTGCTGCTGCTGCTGCAATCACGCGCCTTCCTCCACCACAGCCAGTGATGATAACGAACACGAGTGTACGACCGAACTGGAGCTGTCCCCGTTTAGCACTATCCGCAGGGAGCTGAGTAACTACACACCAGCTGGCTCCAACTGCTAAAATGGCCGTCATTATCAGGGAGGGAGGTTTTACTGGCCAGCTACCTGCCTACAGCTAGTGTTTTTATACTTTGCTAGGAGTGATTTGCCTTACCTAGTCCACTTTTAATATCAATAAGTGCACAAATGGGGTTAGGCACCAAAAAACGAAGCTGAATCATCCAGGACTTCTTTGAAAATGTTTCTTTTTACTCAAGGCCAGGGGAGCTACAGGGACCGTGGATACTTTTAGCAGTCCTGCCTGAAACCTTTAAGACTCACAGATGGTCCTCCTGCAGGGTGTGGTTGCCCTGCAGGAGGAAGCGGCTGGTCTGATCAACAAGGAATCGAATTCTGGAATTGAAACTAGAATTTTTAACAATAAGTGCAGTCCGTTATAAAATTGTGAGATAAATGCCTTGCCATATTAGCTAAGTTTTTTTCCTTAAGGGGAGCCCTGTGCCGTTCAGCTAAGTGGAGAAATAATCAGTGCCAATCACCTTAAATTATGCCACTGTTACATTTCAGAGGACCAGGGTGATTAATTGTAGGGTGCATTTTGTATAATAATTCAGATACAGCTAAATATGTTGGCTCGCACTGCCTAAAGAAGTACTGTGTTTACAGACCACATCAGCTGCAAACAATAGAACGGTGCATATAGGGGAAGAAGGCTTAGTATAATTAAAGCATCTCAGTGGTTCTAACACTTTGCAAAAGAAAACCTCAAACAGGAGAATCCAGAAGTCCTCAGAAACACTCTGGAAAATATCCTCAGAACTAACAGGAGCTGGTCTCAGAGTACTAAAGACACAGACTTAATGGGATTAAACGGTTTTAAATGAACTAACTGAAGCTGAATTAGAGCTGATTGAAGCCAAATGGAATCAAATGCAATGCTACAAATTGAATTGAACAGAGTGAATGCGGATGGAATGGTTTTTAATGGCGATTTACTGGAAAGGATGGACAGAAGTCTGAAGTATCTGCACTACACTGTTGTATTGTGTTACGCTTTACACTTTGGGGGCTGTATATACTCTGTACACTTTCTTTGGTGCTGTTATGATGAATGTGCTGTGAACAACAAATCCATAGGTTCGATGTAGAAGCTCAAGAATCTGAGATGTTGTTTGTTTCCAGTCAAGAAGACGAATTACAACAATCTGCTACTTTAGAGTATGAAACAACGTCAGGATAAAAACTATTTTATAAATCAATAGATACTTTTGTTGAACAATTTTCCCCTGATCTGGCCTTAAGTACTAGTTGGCAGCACTTTATTCTACAGTGATTACAGTACTAATGGTTTAAGGTTATTAGCTCACTGTAACTACACCTAATATGCAATAATTTATGAGTTTAATGGTTATGATAGTACAGAAATATAATCACTGGTTTTCTGTAATATATTACAGCAATAATAATATGTATATAGAAATGTTAACTTAGTGTCACACCGTACATCCTAAAGTTTTACACATTGTAATTAAAAGAATGAAATATTTTTTACAGTGAAATAAATTTATACAGTCATGTTAGCTAAATGGCCTCTGAATTTAACAGGCAGCCAATGTAGGGAAGCTAAGACAGGAGAGACATGATCTCTATTTTTAATTCTCATCAGAACTCTAGCTGCAGCCTTTTGGGCAAGCTGAAGACTTAACTACATTCTGTGGACTTCCTGAGAGTAATGAATTACAGTAATCCAGTCTTGATGTAATAAATGCATGAACTAATTTTTCTGCATCACTCCTGGAAAGGATGTGTCTAATCTTAGCAATATTCTGAAGGTGGAAAAAGGAAATCCTACAAACCTGTTTAACGTGGGATTTGAATGACATGTCCTGGTCAAAGATAACACCAAGGTTACTTACTTTGTTCTTGGAGATTAATTTAATGCCATTCCAGTCAGGTGATTGACTAAGCAATTTCCTTTTCTGGATTTCAGGTCTAAAGATGAGAACTTCAGTCTTGTCTTGATTTTAAAGCAGAAAGTTTTGAGTCATCCAATTTTTTATGTATTCAAGACAAGCCTGTAATCTACCCAACCGATTAGGTTCATCAAGTTTAATGGATAGATATAACTGAGTATCGTCAGCATAACAGTGGAAGAGTATCCCATGCTGTCTAATGGTTTTACCAATTGGAAGCATATATATTGTAAAAATAATTGGTCCAAGCACTGAACCCTGTGGTACTCCACAAGTAACCCTGGAGTATGAAGAAGATTTGTCATGTAGATTTAAAAAATGAAATCTGTCAGACAGGTAGGATTTAAACCAGCCTAACGCTGTTCCTTTGATCCCTACAACATGTTCAAGTCTTTCTAAAAGAACACTGTGATCAACTGTGTCAAAGGCAGCACTGAGATCTAACAAGACTAGAACAGACACAAGATTCTTATCTGAGGCCATGAGAATATCATTTGTAACTCTCACTAATGCAGTTTCAGTACTGTGATACTCTCTAAAACCAGACTGAAATACCCCAAACAGATCATTAATGTTTAAATGCTCACATACTTAGTTGGCCACTATTTTCTCAAGGACTTTGGATAAAAATAGAAGGTTAGATATTGGTCTATAATTCATTGGGTCATCTGGATCCAGAGAAGGTTTCTTAAGTAAAGGTTTGATTACAGCAACCTTAAAATCCGGAGGTACGAATCCATTTACTATGGATAGATTGATTATATCTAGAATGTGGGCAGTAACCAAAGGAAATGCATCTTTAAATAATTTGTTGGGATTGAATCTAAAATTCGGCTGCGCAGTGGCGCAGTGGTTAGAGCTGTTTCCTTGCAGCGAGAAGGTCCTGGGTTCGCTTCCTGGCCTGGAATCTTTCTGCATGGAGTTTGCATGTTTTCCCTGTGCATGTGTGGGTTCTCTCCGGGTACGCCGGCTTCCTCCCATAGCCCAAAAACATGACTCTTAGGTTAATTGGTCTGTCTAAATTGTCCTTAGGTGTGAGTGTGTGTGTGCGCATTATTGTTTGTCCTGTGTGTCTCTGTGTTGCCCTGCAATTGACTGGCTCTCTGTCCAGGGTGTACCCCACCTGATTGCCCATTGATCGATGGAGATAGGCACCAGCCCCCCGTGACCCTACGTGGACAAAGCGAGTTCAGAAAATGGATGGATGGATCTAAAATTCTTATTCTAAATATTATTTGTTCCATTATCATCAAATATAATTTGCTGCTCAAGACAAGAATTATAAATTTAAATCATGCAATTTCATCTAATTCAAAGGGAAACTCAAACCACGGTTTAATAAAAGCATACAGAAATTATTCTAGATAAGCCATCCATCCACTATTACATGCTAATGCTAATGTCTTTAGTTTTTATAAAAGTTTTTTTTTTAGACTTGCAGAAACCATCCAAACACCTTAATTCCTCAGATGCAAAAAGTTTTCCACTAATTTTGACTATTTTGGTGCAAAATAGTAATATTTGTGTTAGTTTTATATGCTGACTGAACATGAAATTAGTCGTCTACCCTTCTTCCTCCTGAGTTAGCTTCTGATGGAAAAAGACAGAAAAACTCTTGGTTCACAAAACCCTGACAGATCTACGTCATGCTATCACTTCACATTCATGGACTCACCCATCTTGACTCACAGCGGGAAGGCGTTGGTTTAGCATCCAGGAAACAGCATCAGCTAGTGCAAGCTAACCATTAGCTTTAGCAACTCCATCATGCAGAACTCCTACCGGCGTGTTGACCTTTAAAACAGGAAAAGTTTAATTATTAATCACTTCATCATACAATAAAACTACTTGAAATTTGTTCTGCAAAATTTTAGAACATTAATAATAATTAGATACATTCATTTGAGCATTAGTTTCATTTAAAAAAAATTAGCACAATGAAGGCTGTGTTAGAGTAGCAACCGTCTGCTTACATTGATAAAGTTAAACCAAATGGTCTAAAAGGGATAAATACATCAAATACATTTTGATGGATATTATTTCTGAAAACAGCAAATGTGTGCTGTATTCACCAAGATGAGTTGTGTTGATTTATGCAACACATAATTATATATAAAAATCAAGTACTACTGCTTTTGAATTTCACTTGAAAAAGAAAATGTCTTTCCCCTGCCAAGTCCTTTCAATCATGAAAACAGTTTAGTGGAGATTTTAAACAGTTTGAATTATAAGGCCTTTATTACTCGAGCTTCTAAAGACAACCAAGGAAGTGTTTTCCACAGCGCATACATCCACAAGTGTATTGTACTGTAAAGTTTTTTTTATTACTAATCATACCTGGGTCAAAATAAAGGCTCAGTCAATTTTATTTATTAATATTAGAAATTTCACTAAAAACTCAGAAGGGTGTTGCACACAGGTGCTTAAACCGACCACATTTCTGCTCTTACTGGTTTTATTTGAACATTTATAGTAGTGACAGAGTCCCCGATGACCCAGGTTTGATGTTCATTGGTAAACCGTGTCGTACTTGCATACAAGTCTGCACTGCCAAACACCTCGTCTCTGTCTCTCGTGCTCTTGTGGTGGTAGCTCTCTAATCTCTGGCAGTCTCTCTCAGCACAGAAGCCAGCTTACTTTTCTTTTAGCCCCATCGTTACAAAGAAGAATCCTCTTCCCTTAAAGCATAAATCTGACACCATACTTTGGCTCGGGTGATCTCCAAACAATGAGCTCAAGGAGATCCAGGTGGATGCAGTCTGTGGCCAGCACATTAATCATCAGCTGTGCAACACCATGCAGCCTGTTGGACAGAGGCCTTTCATTACAATCGCCATCATTATTGAGGGCCGATGAGTAAACCCCTCTTGGGATCTCAGTGTTTATTGCACTACTATTAAATACGTTTTTTACAACTTTGGCAGGATTCATTTTTGATTTTCCATCTAATGTAAAGAGTGTCTTCATAGACCACCTGCTTACCGATGAGACTATTATGTAAACTGGCTTCTAAACTTTTTCTCGCTGCATATTTCCAGAAGTATAGCTCATAAATGGCTCCGTGTGTAGTAACGTGGTTGAAATATTGATGAAGTGAATCTTGTTAATCAGTGAGATGTTTCTTCTGAAATGTTATGATTATCCTCTTCACTCTGAGGTCAATGTGTTTGTATTTGATACCTGAACATGTAAGCACACAGCCACAGTCATGTCCACGTCTAGTCACTGGTTTCTAAATAGCTTTTTATATAGCCAAAAATTGTTCACTTTGTTTATCAAAGAACTTTATCTTAGAAACTGTATATTAAAATCCTAAATGTGTCACGGGGTTGTTGTTTTTTATGTTTTGTGTTCTTATTATTAAAACTAATGCCTAGTTTGAGATTAGCTATTACCAGGATAGGTGTGACTTTGCCAGGACTTACATTGTCCCTCGATTCTGCTGGTGGTTCTCATGAAGAGGATGTCAAATAAAAGCCACGAAGAAGAGGGTTTCTGGTTTAGGAGTTGACAACCAGTGTTAGAAGAGCTGCTCAGTAATCTGATACCATAATTCTTAGATCAACCCCCCACTGGCCACACCTTCACGGTCTTCACTCCTATTCACATAGTTGATGAGAAGTGTGTATTTGGGGGTGAGAAACAAAGAAAGGACTGTCCTAGATGGTGGGAATAGTATGTGATGGAATTTGGGAAGCACATAAGGTGTTGAGCTGCTGCATTGGCCATGTGGAGGGAATCAGAGTAGAACCGCTACTCCTCCACATCAAGAGGAGCCAGTTGAGGTGGCCCGGGCATCTGATTACGATGCCTCCTGGACGCCTTCATGGTGAGGGTTTCTGGGCACGTCCAACCTGGAGGAATTAACCTAAAGGAATACCCAGGACAGGCTGGAGGGACTTTGTCTCTCAACTGGCTAGGGATTGCCTTCGGAGTCCCCTGGAGGAGCTGGCCCCAGTGGCACACCCAAAGGGTGGAAAATTGCAACACCCCCCCTTTGTAATTTATATCCATGAGCAATTGGCAAAATCTTCACTTAGGCCGTAGGTTGTTGAAAGAATTGTTTGTGATACCGTATTATGGGTTATAATTTGTGCCAAATGGATCAACCAATAACACGGTCCTACACAAAATACACCTGAAGAAATCAACCTTAAAGAACATTTCAGAAGCAAAAATAAAAAACAAATGTACTTAACAGTATTTCTGATTAGCACTTCATTGCATTACTCAGACCATTTAAAGGTTTTATCTATTTGCCTTTGTTGCACCTCAATTTTGCTTCAGCTCTAGGTTTTTGCCTCTATAAGACAGTTTCATTGTAAGGGGCTCTTCAGTGCTTCGATCTCATTGGTTGTGAGGGTTGGGAGTGAGTGGCTCAAATTGTTTGCCATATACAAACTTCCACTAAGGCTTTTTGATTGCTTTAGTTGGATATATTTTCTGTAACACTGTATTTTTTTGGTTGATCCATTTGGCATAAATCTTCTCCCATACAGTATATTTTTGCTATCGTGTGGACGGACGGCCAAACCACAGGAAAATACCGTGTTACGTGTGGATAATGCATTAAGGACTTCCTTTACAAAATTTGGGCATTTGATTAGGCCGCCTCAAACTCCTACCCATTAGGATCCCCCAGAAGGAGCTGCAGTGTTGCTGGGAGAAGGATGCCCATGTCTTCGTTCTTGGCCTGCATGACCCAACCTTGGGTATGTGGTGTGGAGTGAATAGATGCTACAACTGCTCTACCAAGACTAAATGTCACTCAAATAAACTGTAATCCAAAGTTTTTCCATTTCCACAGCTGTGCACAAAGTTTCAAAAACTTCGCCTAGGTGTCTTTGCTCACAGGTTGAGGAAAATAAGCTTATCTGAGAAACCAAAGACATGATCAAGTCACACTGAGTGACAGCTGCTAGACAGTTGTAGCAAACAGTCAAATCATCAATGTCAGTCAGTCTCAGCCAGCAAATCAAAATAATCTAGAGACTAAAATTACACTCAGTTAATGTCACGTGTAACCACAGGTTCAGGCCTTAATAATCTCTGCTGGACTGAACCTGCAAGCTTCGATCCAACAGCTGCTGACTACTCATTCCTTCCACTTTTTCTAATATTCTGGTAAACAATGCTTGACTAATTTAAAATCTACAGTTTATTGTTTGTACTTGTGGAACATTTAGCAAAGGAAATAAAAATGAAATATTCAACATCTATTGGTGAAAATTATGTTAACATTTTTAGAAGATGACATCTACTTTACATTACAGTTACATTTAATTGACTGCTTTTGTGAGTTGGCTTTTATTAAAAATAAATATGTTATTTAATAAGTTCAGAAATACATTAAATAACATATCTACCATAATGTTGCGATACTAGTTTCATAATGGAGATGGGTATAAAATAGACTTTAATATTATTAATTCGTATAACAACAGTTCTTAGAGCTAACCTTTAAAACAAAATGTTAACGGGGGATGGAGAAGTAGGGATGTCACATCCAGTTCCTTGGAATTTATGGAATTTCCACAAATCACTTCCTACTGTTTTGATCTCAGATGAAACGCAATGTGTCACTATAAACCAGAGGAGACTGTTCAGTCTGCTTATTGGTCAGATTGTCTGGAGGCGGGACAACCAGAAGTAAATACAGGAAGATGTTTCTGTGTCCTGTTCCTAGCTAGTCGATAGCATTATGGTCTACCCACCTTTAAATTATGATTTTCTTTTAATTCAGCGCCGATAAATCTGGTCATCTGCTCCAATATCACTGAAATAAAGTATCCTGTTGATCATCTACAAGAGCTGCTGGTTCATTTTGGCTAGCTACTGGGTAGCTACCAACACTTGTGTCCTCTCGCATCCCAGAATGCATCACAAACCAAAGTTTGGCTTGAGCTTGCAGTGCACATACAGCATTGAGACACACTCCTTGTAGTCGTTTGCCTCTCACACATGTGCAAACAAGCTGCACCAAGGGGGAAAAGGAAGAAGAGTTAAATTTAGATGGACAAAAGGTTGCCCTTAAGGTATTTAAGGTGGTTAAGTTAGCCCTTAACAGCCGATGACACAAACATAAATAAAGAAACGTTCAGACGTCCTCATAAACAAACCAAACTTCATCTCGGACCCTTTTTTTCAGGTGATGACATCACATAGATCATCGGTTTAGTGTGCTAAAGAGTATGGAAGAATGCTGTGGTACTGTGTGCCTAATTTAAGCATCTCAAAGTTTTTTTTTTAATTAGGCTTCAGGAAATAGTGAAAAATGAAAGTATGGCATTTTGCCTTATTTGTGCCCATTGGTTAGAGATAGGGAAAAGTGCAATCCACATTGTGACAATGAGGTTTTAGTCCTCAAGCTTATCTGCTGAAAGTAAGTTGAACGTATTAAAAGCTATTTTCCCTTTTGGATGTAAAATAGCACTAATTCTTAATGTTTTGCTATAAAAAGAAGCCTATTTTTTTCCTCCCCTAACTGAGGCTTGTTTTTTATGCTCATCAGTGATTTATCACCACGCTCTGTTGTCCTAACACATCCTACACACCCTCTCTGGCTCGTCTCTGCTGGCTTGCCTTTGTCTGTTAGATCCAAAGCGTTATACAACGATGACGATAGCGGACGCCGTCCTGGGTCTGTGTTAAAGATAAAAACAGAACTATTTATGCTTCCTGTATCAGAATTAGCTGTCATACTGGAACACAGCAAATGCCAGAAAGTGTCTCCAACAAGCCACAGAGAATGAGGACGAGGTAGAAGAGATTTAGCAAAGATTTTCGAAGTGCAAATACTAAGATGGAAGGGATAAAGGTTATAAGTTCTTGTGTTAATGGTGTCCCAAAACACATTGCTGAGCATTATCACAGCAATGTTTGTTTGGAACACTATGGTGAAATCTGAAGCTCATTTTGCACTTTGAATCAAATGGTCCAACTATCTGCCATTTATCTGTCAGGAACAAAAACAAAAAGTCCTAATTATGCAGCGTTTGATAAAAACCAAGAAACTGGTGGCTTTGAAACGTGTGACAATCCAAGCTTTTATGTGTCGTCTCAGAGTTTCAGTCTCACTCTCACTGCAGCTCTTCAGCTGAGTGCATGAGTGTGAGGGGTCCCTCGTCCCAGAAATGCTGACAGGCGGTACGTCTCTCATCTCTGTGATAGTCCCCCCAAACTGCTGGCCTCCTGCCAGCGCACTTACTCACACTCAACCAGCCTCAATCAGGAAGGCATAAAAATATCAGCAGATCTGTCTTGAGTGTAGGCTGATGACGGCACATGCTAGGTCTGCAGGTGTGTGCTTGTGTGTGTCTTTTTGCTGTTTCAATGTGTGATGAAAAAGGTTTTCATTTTGTGATCAAAGATAACCGTCATTGTTTTTTTTTCCTTTGATTTTCTTCAATCTGCTTCTATTTTAGACTCTAAACAGCCTTTTGAGGTCTTGATTTAACAATCCACATCGCTTTATAATTATTATCCATTTAAAGGGTGTGTGGGTAACCTCTGACCTTTGGACATGGTGCCTGAGACAAGTAAACACACAAAAATCCTCAGATGTTTTTGGTCTAACGCTTTTATTATCCCCGAGCTTCTGAGAGAGTTGAACTCTCTGCCGTTTGTTGGAACTGACTCCCACATTTATGTGCGTTCAATTGTAAGTGGATAGTCATGAAAAACAAGAACATCAAGCTCTCATGGGGTAAGGCTTTCCTTATGAATGGTTGCCATAGTAATCGAGGAGTTAAGTTACAATCTTTTTTTTTTTGACTCTCTCCTGTTTCACTGTTCTTTTTCGTGGCTTGCATTGTGAAAGACGAGTCAATCTCCGCGTTAGAAAGCGATCAGTGAAACCAACGCTGCTGTTTAGATGCATGTGGCAAATTTATTATGAAATGTTTAATTGACCTTTTTAAAGACTGTTGTTATTGAAGGCATACTTTGCAACTTTTTCATGTTTTTAAATCTTTTTCTTGAGCCAGCACTAAAATGACCCTTTACAGGGTTAATGAAAGGCCGCCCATCTCTATCGTCCCCTGTAGACAGAAAATTCCACTTGCAACTTCAGACTGGTGAGCCGCTCTGACATACCTGGCACTGCAGTCTGCTCCCAGCACATTTTCTGCATGTTTTAGATCAATATTTCCCCAGTCCTGGTCCCCAGGGCACACTGTTGTGCATGTTTTCCATGTCTCTGCTTCAGCACACCTGATTTACATCGCCTCCTCAGGAGAACATCAATTGATGCAGATGCCTGTTAATCACTCATTCATTTAAGTCAGGTGTGTAGCAGCAGGGAAACACTGGTGTTTTAAAAGGCA